CAGAAGCTTGCTGCCGTTGTCTACTCTTCTTTCTGGTCTCTCGCTTCGTCCGCCTTCAGTTTCCTCAAACATGTCGTGTTGCCATTTGTCTGGCAGCTCTCTGGGCTGTAAAGAGCACAAATAAATGAATGTTGTAACAGAAACTGAAGTCATGACAACATACTTTAATACCCATTTTGCTGAAGCAGGGAACAACCAATGTTTATTTGTTAACTGACGATGCAGTTGCCTATTTCACATGGTCATTAGTAAGAAATCAGCTGCGAAAAAATCTTTAAGCACAGTTAATATTGTGTGCCAACTCACACTCATTGTGTTAATCATAACAATTTGCAAATGTGTAAGTAAACCAATACTGATTTAAAATGACGCAATGTTAAAATAAAATATGTAATTATTATTAAACAATGTTCTCGGAAGTGTATTACACTGTAATACACTTTGATAGAGTTTAGCAGGCAACGGCGCTAGAATTTGCCCCTGCAATAAATATTGGTAAAACATGTTTTACACACCAGACATTTCATAGCACTTCTAAACATAATTGGCATAAAGGCCAAAAGGACACATTTTTGTTTCATATGGCCAGAGCGGGTCCACTTCCACATGTTGGAAAGTAGGGCTGGGCGATATGGAAAAAAAACTATATCACGATATGGATTATTTTAGATAACGATATATATCACGATATACCACAACTGATGTTGCATTTTATGTTTTCATAGTCCATCAGATGGACAGGGTTGAAAAAAATCTTTCATCGCCTATTTTTTACCCATCATCTTGTTTCCTAATATGAGAATCCCAACCCCAAACCAAGAACACCAGTTAAGCAATTTGCGGCCATGACAGTGAACAGTGAAAAAGTTTATCACGATAGAAAAAAATAGAGGAGAAAGGTCACGATAGACATGTTTCTCTCGTCCTCACGATATATATCGCCATATCGCCCAGCTCTATTGGAAAGTAGTATGCCGTCTAGGGGAGCTCCTCTTTTCTTAACTTTCTGATGTTATTCTAATCAAACCCCTTGGAAGTAGAGACCAGTGTGCTGACAAATCTTGGTGCCGATATTGCTTTTTCTTTTTTCATTTACATGAATAATTAACAAAACAACTATTTTTCTAATGAATTAATTTGCTGATTTTGTTTTCAATAAATGGATTATTAATCAGATAACCGGAGGTTCTGTAAAGTAGGTATTAAACTGAATTTAGAGACCAAGTGAAGCCAAATATTTGAGGATTTTAGGGTACAGCATATTAATGGACACGTTTTTTCACCTTGAATGCAAAATATTTATACTAAACAATTTTGGAATAATTACAGCTTTGAGTAGGTTGATCTTTTAGGGAATGATTTAAATATAGAGTCTATATACTGAAGTTAATGATTAATTAACTGCTAAATTAGTTAACGATTATTTAAATACTCCATTAATCATAATTAAGCTGATTGTTTCAGCCCTAGTACAGCAGACACTGTTTACACTGAAAATTTTAGAATTACAATGAAATGAAGCCTATATAAATAACTTATGAGCTTATTGGCAGCGGAAACGGTGTTTTTAAAACACACTAACTCATCTTATTTTTCACATACACACGAGAGAAGCACTGTAAAGATGTAATCCATCTGCGGTTAAGACTGTCAGTGGTTCACTGAGACAGATGAACACACTACAGCCCCGACAGCAGAGAGCCAAGTTTATAGAAAATAAAAATCCCACACAAATGCCTCTACTTAGGGCCAATAGTTAGGTATGCAAACAGCTTTTCCCTAACTAAGACAACGACATGGGTAATACTGAATAGCATCATCGCATGGAGCATAATCCAAAAGGCAGTGCATTTTTTGTTAAAGCTCTCACTTCTATAAAAAAAGACTTCCTTTTACAACATATAGAGATCAGATGTTAAACTAAATAAATCAGATGAGGTAGTTGTAGCACTGGGGAATAATCCAGCTGTTGTAATGCAATTTCCTTAATCAGATTTAGTCGTTTAAACTATCACTTCAGAAACCAGATAATCCCAGAAATGGGAATAAAATCAATTAGAGTGCACATAAACAGGCTCACCATTACAGAGCCAAACAAACAGGACATGGTCTAACCCTCATGCCTCCTAACCCACAGTATATACATAAAGAAAAACATGAAAAAAGACATGGGTTTGGTCATGTTTACCCATTTCTACATGTGGGACTGATACCAACACTATTATTCATCACATTATAATTGATTTTTTGTAGAACTATTCCCAAACAAAGTGAATTTTCTTGCCAATGAGCCTTCTTACTGAGAAATTGTTGCCAGAGAGGGGTGGCTTATGATCAGCCATAGCAAGGCCAGCATCAGTTGACCTATATAGCATGTTAGCTGCTGCTTCATATAACCACCATGCAAAAAGCGCAACAGCAATGCTTTCAAACGACGTTGAATGGAAAAATAACTGAAAACATTTGAAGTCAGCAGCCATTTAAAATCAACCAGTCCTGATTGCATCGTCTGCAACATTAATCACAGATATTAAGGATCCACCTGTTACTTATCATTAAGTTACTATCTGGGATTAAAAAAAGAAGTCCAATATAGAAATCCAATTAACTTGGTTAATAAAAAATAAAACGTGAATTCCCGTTACTGGACTTTAAACAATGGAATTGAGAGCCAGTTAAGGTGGACTTTTTCTGAACGTGTCTCCTTCTTACTCTGGTGTATGGAGCGGCTCTGTTGTTCCTATCACGCTGGAAGTTGTTCGGTCTGCCCCTCGTTGCCATCGGCGGCCTCGACGATCCACCGGCTCGACCTGAACTTCCTCCCCGCCTGAAGCGCCCTCCTTCTCCTTCGCGGCCATCTATCTTGTTCAACTTGATAATGTCGTCCAGAGACATGCTCATCTTATCGGCCATGGCGCCGGTTAAACTTCCTAAAGCTAAGGAGGAAAATGGACGCTAAACTCTGAGTGTGGTTTAGCTGTAGGTGTAGGTTGGCGCGTTGTTGAGATGGGCCGTAGTCTTGGTTCTTCTACGGTGTCGAGGTGCAATTTTCCATGGCTCTACTGACACCTAATGGACTGGGGTGACAGCGTCTTCTTCTTCTTTTCTTTGCTTCGTTTAATGGCGGTTGGCAAACAGCTTTTCGGTGAGCATTATCGCCACCAACTGGTGAGGAGTGTGGATCAGAATGGCCTTATTCATTAAGATACTTGTATTTATTTATCTTTATCTATATCCATAGCATTACCTTACAATACTAAATCCTCCTAATTATTCTTCTTCTTTTATATTATTGCGGATCGTAAGCAACTTTAAGGTGCATACCGCCACCTACTGTACATGAGTGTGTCGCAACATTACTTCATAGCAAATTCTATTTTTTAATTTTGTATTCTGTAGTTAAATAAATAATGCTTTCTTTAATCTGTGAATATCCTTCATATCTTCTTAATTTGCCAATATTCCTTTAAGACTCCATTTGTTGCCTGTCCTTCCAACCATCCTTCTCAATTTCTCCATTTCATGTTCATAAGTTTTATAGTTCACCAGTAAATGTTCTATTTTTTCTTTTTCTCCACATCCTTCACATTTATCATTATTTTTCCTCCCTATTAAATATAGTCATTTAAATAGATATGACCCACTCTTAATCTGATGATTCTCTTCTATTTCTCTCATTAATGATTCTATTTAATACTGATTTTTGTACCTTATATAATTCTCTTCCTTTATCTTCATTCCATCTCTATTGTCATTTTTCCATCTCTTTACTCTCAATAAGTAATGGGTGACACAGCAGACTAGACGGCGCAATAAAAGAAATATGTGAATGTCTCCGGCATATTTTGAGTGGCCGGTTTTTCTGAGAAATAAAATTATGCTTGGAAACATTTTTTCTTAAAGAAACATCTAACTTACATACAGAATTATTTTACTAATTCTGAATAACTAATTTAGGTACTGTAGATTATGTTCATTTTTGGTAGAATTTAATTGTAGTGTTATTAAAATGAACATAAACTTTGCTTATTTTGCTTGTAAAAATGTACTAAATATCTTTATTGGTTTACAGATGAAAGAGTTTTGTTTTTGCATTTTGGGGGGGAAAATATATACAAGAACCTATTTAAGTGATGATTACAAAACCATTGATCTTGTTGATCATGTGCCAATTATTGGTAAGTTTTGATATTAGGTTTCAAAAGTAAATAAGGCTTTTTTAAATTGAATTGAGATTGGGGTCTATACATATTTCATTATTTTGCAGAGAAAACTTCTTGAGTCATCTTCCCATCAACTCTACCTATCTAGCCTCTCTTTGGTGAAGAAAAATGTATCCTCACAGTATAATGCTGCAACTTTAATCTGTCACATGGCTGCAGTACGTTTGCTTACACAGACATTATGCGCCCACAGCACCCTCCTTCCTATGGTTGTAGAATTCCCTACATGGCTTGTGGAAAATGATGGAGGACATATTTCGGATTTATTTGCTTCATTTCCACAAATGTCAGATTTATGGAGTACACAATAGCTTTCCAGTGAACAAATGCACGTACCTGCAATGTGGATCTCTGAAGGGTTCTTCGGCTCTTCATGTCCCAGTGAGTTTGAAGACGTGGCGTGCTAACTTCATTCTCAGTTGATAGATTGAATAGAGCTCAGTGAAATTTTGAATCCAATGTATGTTTTTCTTATAAACTAGACCTTCTGCTCTAAACACTTTTTCCCTGAAATCTCAAAAAAAATCCATAACTTCTGGTTAATATCATAGTGTACCATAAATACAAGATGTTACTAGGCTTATTTCCTAATCTTTACTAAAAAAAAAAAAAAAACTAGTGTACTTGTATATTTAGTGCAATTTACTGTATTATTATGGTGAAATGTAATATATACCATACACTTAGCACTCAGTACAATGCGTTGGTTTGTATTTGTACAATTATGATAGATCCATCATCAGTTTGGGTGTTGAAGCAAAGAAAAACAGAAACAAATTTGGACAGGCTATACACATCCTTTATTAGATGTCTCCCTAAGGGCAGCCTTCAAACCAGATGAGTTCTTGTTAATGTGCAGCAAACAAACTGTTTAAGAAATGTTGTACTCAGAGTATTTGTGCAACAATCACACATCTCTACATAGGCGCCCGTGTAGTCTACATCAGTATACTCACTAACGAGGTGCAGTCATTGCTCCCTGGGTGATACAGATGATAAATATGCTCCGATTGCATTTGCAGCTTAGTCTGTGTTAGTGATGGAATGGGGTCAGAAATGCAGGTTGCATAAGGTGAGGCTGTGGCCGACCAGAAGAAGTAACACAGGACTTTAAAAAAAATATTTTGTCACAATTCCCAGGGCCTCCTCCCGCCACGCTTTGAGTGCTGAGGGTTTCCATCTGAGGGCACTGTTACACAGGACAAAAACGTGAACACGTTGGAACCCTCCAGATCAGCAAATATATACCAACATATGGTCTTGCAGAAAATTGGACAGTAGTGGCCATACTAACAATCTTCATTTCTATGGAAACTGAGTGGATTGATTTTATACAACCCCCTACATTTGGATCTTTTATAAGGTTATTAAAAAATACTGATCAGATTTAGTATTTGAATTTGTGTAACTGGATTAATTCTTATTTTCATATTCAACACATATTTAATTGAAAGTCATAGTTCAGAGGGTTTTGAAGGGGGGGGGGGGGGGATAGGAATCACTAATGGGTGGTGAGGGTGTTTGCTGTGAGAGACATTGTGCACGTCTTCCTACTTTCCTCTTGTGCACCTTTACAGTCTGAACCCTGGATAAAGCCTACTAATACTATAAATTCTTAACTTAAACAAAAATAAAATAAAATAAGGGGTAGGTGAGGGGGTAATCTTTTCCAGGGGTAGCCAGTTACATCAACTTAACCCCCAAATTCCCCAACTCCTCAGTGAAATCACTGGCAGAGGTAACCGATCTGGCTTCACTGTGGTTAATGTGTTAAATGATTGAGCAGATCCGTTTCAAAAGCAATATACCAAAAACTAAACAATAGAAGTTAAGGATGTAGGCTTTTAGGCTTTTTTAAATAGCTTGTATCAAAAGCTTATGAAGAAGCTTAATCCATAAAACTCTGTCCATATTTTACAAAGGCGAAGAAAAACATTTATGAAATCGACATCGAATCTATGTTTCAGCCTAGTATAGGTCAAGCATAAAACCTCAGCAGGGCTTAAAAAAAAAAAAAGGTAGGACCAGATTACCTCACCTCACCTTAAGGAAATAATTGCTACTAATTAGCCAACCTATAGAAAGGAGATACCTTGTCACTAATATGGTCTTCAATGTGTGCAGCATAACTGTTATCTTAAATGTTTTCCTTTGTCAAAACCAAACCTAATTTCCTAAAGTCATTCATACACCAGATTCAACAGTAAACAAAGCCCCTAATGCCTCCCACCTTCTCACTGGTAGAACTTAATCTCGGTGTCCACACAATCAAAGAACAGGTCCCCCAGTTCGTCTCCAGGTATCTCTCCGCCGAGCATTGCTGAGATTTCACTCAGACACTGCGACTCCAGATCCCTCAGGATATCGTAGATGGCTAAACCTTCATTCTGCGGCAGACACACAACACACACAGACGTCTGAGTATCAACACCACCTGGGTCAGATGGTACTCACAAATCATTTGTTTAAGCTCTCAGAAGCAGCAGCAATTTCTGACTCCCCTAGGAAAAAACAGCAACGCTGCTGAATGTTAAGATGAAGTGAATTCAGAGAGATTTGTACTTTTATTGTCCAAATCTGATGCATTTGTTGGGGGATCTTTAGAAAATATGCAAAAATTAACATCCAAACATTTTCAATTATTGTTTTGCAAAAATTTTTCCCCACGTTTCTTGTTTTACTTCTTTTATGTAAGGATTTCTTTAACACAAAGCAGCTAAGATGAACTTCCTGAATCTATAAAAGTAATTTACAGTAAAAAAAACAAAAAAAAAACAGTTCCAGACAGATGATGTTCTAACAATCTTCACACCAGGCGAAAAAACAAAATAAATCGTTTATACCATGAGTGACTGTGAAAGAACATCTGTTGCTTAAATGTTTGGGTTTGAAGTTGCTGTTTACCTAAAAGTCTCATTTCCTTTTTAACTTATGCCTGTTTTGCTATCTCCTCTCACACACCTGGTTCTTGTTTCTAATTACCACACCTGCTTTACTCTAATTATTACCTTCCCAGGAATATTTTTTACCTGGTTTCCTTTGCCAAACACCCGCTTAATGTGGTAAAACCTTTCTTTTCCCCAGTTATTATTACCTGCTGCGAAGAAACGCTTAGGGGTTTGTTGCTTAATGTGCTACCTTAACCAACCTGACCCATAGTTACCTTGATAAATCATGATTCAGATTCACCAGCCACACCCAAGCCTATTAAATGGTAAACCTGCAGAATCGTGACACTTCTAAAATAGAGCCTGTCAGAAAACAAGAAGAATGCCAAATAACTCAAAAAGCAATAAAATCATAGTCAAAGAGATCCCAGAACAGATAAATGATCATCTATCAGTCTGGAAATGGTTAAAAAAAAAAAAAAAAGCTGTTGCTAAGGCTTCGAGACTCCTGGAAATCCCAGAGAGAGCCATTATCCAGAAGTGGAACAGTGGTAAACTATCCCAGGGGGTCTGGCCATCCAAATTTATTTCAGGAGTACATCAACAACTCATTGGAAAAGAACCAGGAGCTACAACTTCACCACCGCGAGCCTTTTACCATCTAGGCCGGTGTCTTTTTCATTTTGATCACTGCTGCACTTTAAAGAAATGGAAATGTCATGAGAGTTGTACAAAAAGAAATTTCTACAGTGATGTAAAAAGACTTAATGTCAATTTTCATAAATGCTTAATAGCAGCTGTTTTGCCATGAGAGGCACAACCGGTTATCAGGCAGTCATCTTTTCGGCATAGGGACCGGTTGGTTTGACAAGCTTCTACCCGTATTAAATGAGATCATTGTGAGAAATTTTGTATTTATTTAAGTGATTGATTGTTTAAATACAAATTAGAAGATCTGAAATAGGTTTGAGGGAAAAAGTTTAAAAGATGATGAGGGGGAAAAAAAATGCTTTTTTCAATGATGTATTAGGAAAAAACACACTTGCCAGGCCCACATTTCATCAGTGTTGAATTACATGATAATAGGGTGCTTAGCAAAAGTATTGGTTGGTATTTTTCATCTTTTGTTGCCTCACAAGCTGGAGTGAACATTGAATGTTTGATAGTTCACACCACCTATGAATTTATAGCACACGCTTAGAATTTTTAAGATGGATTTTTTTTGTTTATTGGGAAGCAAACAAGTAGGACTGAATAGAAAACTAGAGCGAGCAGAGCTGTTCACAAGCTGAGAGTCAGTATTTGTATTGGCATTATTTATGGAAATTGCAGTTGCAGTTCCCTTTGGATATTTTTTATGAGCTTGCCATATATTTCCACAACAATTTTTGCCCATTCTGGAAAACTGCTCCAGCTTCTTTCATGATGGGCAGTTTCTGCTTGTAAACCGTGATCTTCAAGTCTAACCACAGATTCTACATTATATGGAAATCTGGACTTTGACTAGAACATTTCAACACATTTCAGTATTTCCCCTAAACCATGTGTTGCTTTAACAGTTTGCTTTGGGTCGCCGTTCTGTTGGAAGGTAAATCTCTGTTCCAGACTTAAAACACAGGTAGACTGAACAAGGTTTTGCTTAATTCAGATATATCCATGTATTTAGCATCATCTATCTTCTATCTTTCTCAGATACCATCGTACCAGTTTTGCTGTCCCTGCAGCTAAAATGTGGGGAACCATTAATTTTTTATTTTTTTTGGACAAATTTCATTAAGGCCAAGCCCTGTGGAGATCATGGCTTATTATATGGTCCAATGGATACATTTTCCAGTCCCTGCTGTGGGATTCTGCAGCTCTTTTGGTGTTACCTTCGTTCCCTGTGCTGCCTCTCTGATTAATGCCCTCTTTGCTGGTCTGTGAGTTCTGGTGGACTCCTCTCTCTTCGCCAGTTTGTTGTGGTAATATGTGCTTTCCATTTGAAGATGATGACTATGATGCTGCTACAGGGGAACATCCACAATTTGTTTATTTTTATATATAACCCAACTCTGACTTGTACTTCCCCACATTGTCCCTGGCTTGTTTGAAGAGTTCCTTGGTCTTCATTGCTTCATTGTTCAAAACCTCTTGTCTACTCGTGTTGCAGCAGCCTCTGGAGCCTTTCAGAAAAGTGTGTTTATAGAGACAGATCATGGGACACTTTGTTGAGCAAACATGGGCTTCGTTGCTCTAAAGAGGAGACTTTTTTAGTCTTTTTAGGTGACTAAATAGATGACCACCGCCACCCCATAAAATAGAATAAATATGACATAAGGCAGTGTATAAACCATGGTGATTTGTTATTTTTTAATAAATAATTTGTTATCTTAATGTTCCACATTCTACCATTTAACCATACTAGCAAAGTAGGGGCAAACAAACACTACCAATAATATTTTTACAAAATCATCAGTTTAAAATAAAGACCTGAGATCTTTCTGAGTAAAATAACCACCCCATGAGTTCTCCTAGACCCTTGTTATAGTGCCTAATCTCAGTCCAAACAGGACACTGGACTGTCTGTGACCTGTTTACCTTCTAAATTACATACTGAATCTCAGACAGGGTATTAGCTAAAAAAACCTTAAGCAAGAGCCTCAACTTGTTTTGTAGTGGTTAAATGCTCAGTTGGTAACTGTGCTCCTATTTACTGTATTTCTCAGGTAATACACCTTTAGAAGGAGGTGGTTTAATCATTTTGTCCCATCTATTGATTTTTATTGTTGCCCAATCATTTTAATTCGGTATAAAAATCTTTAGCCAAGGCTAATTATCTTAACATATTGTTAACAAAGTTGACAGAAGAAGCAGCCACCATATGTTATATGAAGTTAGAAAGCTTAGACAGAAGCATTTCCTTGCAAGAATAATCTTCAAATTTATTTAAAGTCCTTTGGAGGGAGAGAGATAGAGCTCTCTCTGACTGAGGCATTTCAGTACATACATTTATACCTTACTCAAACACATTCCCCCCAGGGGAACAAACCCACCCTTTGCTTAAAGATCTCTCTCACACTTGAACATTTGGTTATTCCCAAGAAAAAAACACTTCAATTCATCAAGGACATAAATTTCAGCCACAGCATGAAGGAGGCTGTGTGAACTAATTATTATCTCTCATGAACCTCCTTTCATCCTTGTCTAGAGTACGGATGCATCTGCTTTCTGTCACCCTTTTACACATTACAGCATAGTGAGTGGTATAGGATTTTATCTCAGAAATAGGCCATGGTAAAATATGATTCCAAAGTTTACAAGGTAGTAATAAATAATAATAATTGAACTTTATTGATCTCATATTGGAGAAATTGACCTCTGCATTTAACCCATCCCCTTGGGGAGCAGTGGGCTGCCATTGTGCAGCGCCCGGGGAGCAGTGTGGCGTTAGGTGATTTTCTCAGGAACCCAGAGTGGAGGCTGTGGGGATCGAAATGGGTATTTGCAACCTTCTCAGAGCACAGCGCACTGCTCTAACCACCAGCCAAGTTTCCCCAACAGTAAAGTAAACTGTAAGCAGTGCTTTGCTGGAGCAGGCTTATTGTAGATGAAGGAAGATCACGAGGTATGTTCAGCAAAGTTGTCAAGAGGAGAAAAAAAGCATCTAAACTCTACTGGATTCAGTGTTATGGTTCACACTTGTCCACTTAGCATATTGGAGATTATGATAAAAACTTCTCATTATGATTAAAGTTTATCTAGTATTCCAATCAGTTTAAGACCTATTAGAGCTAGAGACACATTTTCAGACATTAACTATAGAAAAAACTAGCTGCTGTCACTTGAAGGTATAATGCTGAAAGAACCACTTTATTTCAATGAGTGGCACTGATGGCGCTTTGCCTCACTTCGTCACTTGCTAATTGGAGAAACCAGGCGTCTTCTTTAGTGGGTTGGAGCAACACAGTCAAGGTAGGTGCTTCCTGGAGAGGGACAGTGATTGCTGTTCCAAGTTCCACTTTTTGTTTTGCTTTTTGGACTGGAAGGGCTGCTGCACTGAGGGCAGATTTACTCTGATATTCACAAATGAAGCAGAATACCAATTTGTGCACATTTGTGATGAAGGAAGAACATTTTAACATTGTTAGAAGATCATAAAAACTTGCTAGTGAAGGTTCTCAGTCATCCAGCTCATAGTCATTCCAAAAAAATTAAAAACAACCAACTGGACTTGGTTTCCAAGTTTGATGATGTTACGCTTCCCATCCAGGAAGCTTTTTCAATTCAAAATGTCAGGAACTCATAAAAACTTGATTTTGCATGATGCAGGCACTTTAATGTAAACCAAACTAATCTACTGGTAATCTGCTTTTGGGAAATGGTCGTTGTGTGACTCCAGTAAATGTTCTTCATCAGCAAAATGTCACCTAAAGGAACTTTGTTTTGTTTAGGGGTTGTATTCTGTCGTATTTCCTCAGAGTAAACTGGCCAAAGGAAACTGGAAATATGGCTTTATATAAAATCTCCTTAAAGCATAGCAAAATTCTGTTTAATTAGATGTGAGATTTGAGCATTTTTATAAATATTTAATGCTACAATTCATCATGAAAATAAACTATTATGCTGTGGTTAGACAAGGTTAGCAAATATGGAAAACAAACAGCAATTCAATGGGTAACAAAAGTGAGCTACAAATGTGTGCATTGACCCAGACACACAACAGATCATATAGCAAATTAGATATTTTAAATGTTATTTATTAGTTATTATTAAACTCTGGTTCTTCTTGTCTGGCCCTACAGCACCCAATTCGACACACAAAGATTCAAATATAGATAAAATTCAAAACAGTTTTTTCTGCTATTTTTGGGGAGAGAAAAAATAGCTTTAGCATTTTGGAGTGGCTCATTACAAAGATCTGATCTGCAACACCGTCAGTCCAGTGGTTTTTTTCTTTTACTTTTTTGGAATAATGTGCACGTAGCTTTGATTCGCTGTCAAATAGGTTAAATGCTGACATTTATCAGTCATTGCTCACCGGTTTGGTCTCCATAGTGTTGAGTGCCACCTGATGGGCCTTGTAGAGATCATGTCGGCGGTCCACCCGGCTCTGAAAGCGTGGCTGCTTCCTGACGGGATCATTTGGTCCGAACTGTGGAGAGACCACTCTCGGGACCGGGATGGGACAGTCCGAGAAGATAAAAGGCTTGAATATCGACCTAAGGAGGTGTGTGGTATCGTGGAGGGGAAACAGGGAAAATAAATATAGAGACTAATAGAGGAGAGAACACATAAGGCGAAAAGCTAATATAGCCATTTTAACATCATTCAATCTCCATATGATTTGCTATAGAAATTTTACAATCAGAACAGAAGTTCTAAAACCTAGAGATCTCATATCACTAATTACTTTTTTTCTTTAAAAGTCAACAAACCTGGATGGGTCTGGGGTGGCAGTGAAGAAGTGGATGCAGGGAAGGCTAGTGTCTCTGGGCAGTACAGACACCATGCTGCCTGTGGTGCAAAATCCTCCAGAGTCCATACAGATGCCACTGGGTTTATCTCTCAGAATAGACATCATTACTTCTGCTGTCACTGTGCCTGTGAAACACCAAGACATCCGTGTCTTCAGGGTTTTATTGGTCCTATAGGGTTTTATTGCCCAAACAATCTGAATGAATAGAAATAATCCAAAATGTCTCATAGTACTGAGGGAAAACCTACCATCGTACTGCTGGAGCAGTTCTGTGCCTCCCTTGTAGCGCTTTTTGGCCAGATCCATCCTTGCAGGAGGGTTTTCTGGACTAAACACCTGAGAAAAATTAAACTCTCCCTGGCCATCCCACCACCCCTGAGCCTTGGCCACACTCCGCAGTTCAGGGTGTTCTGCTGAGATCTCAGTGTGGATGGTAAGTTGATTGGATATGTTCTTCACACCCTCTGAAAACCAAAACAAAATAGACATGTTCCATTTCATTAACAGGTTTAAACAAGTCTAAGATTTTTCTTCCTTTAAACGTATTTACTCATTAAATAAATCTGAACACCATAGAAGGAATTAAAAAGCTACTGTAGAGAGCAAAGTCTGACTGTAACCAACTACAGTGACAAAGATTGTAATTCGAAACATTTAAGTTCTGACAGCATCATGGTGAACATAATTCCTGCTCCAGTTCTGACTAGCATTATTACACTGACATGAACAAGCATGGGTCAGCACATTTCTCTTTCTGCTGCATTCATCACAACATGCTACAATATATGCACTGGCTATGCAAGCTCACTAATCAGAATGGATTTTACTTGTAAAGGTCTAAAGACACTATAAGCTTGTACTTCTAAAACTAATTCAAACTGTTAAAACCTCAAAGTCTTTCTGCAGTTTTCCCAGAACCCCCCCCCCCCCCCCCCCCCAGACACACACACACAAAAACAGAAACACTGCAAACTAATGCTTTACATTCGGTGGCTGGGAGTGACATAAAAAAATAAAAATACTGATTTGCAGTCCACCTGCAGCAAAGCACTCTTCAGTTCATTTGGCTCAGACACTAAGAAAAACTTAGTCCAGGCTAAAAGCAAATGTTTGCAAAGCAAGAAAACCACTTCTTTTTGTAACGTTGTATTGTCCACCAGGTCCTTACTCTGAATTTTTAGATGAATTTTCAGAGTTTCTATCTGATTTGGTGTTAAATATTGACAGGATAATCATAGTGGGGGATTTTAACATCCATGCTGACATTGCAGGTGATAGCTTAAGTGCAGCCTTTAATTCTATCTTAGAGGCTATTGGCTTTGTTCAAAATGTGAATCCACACATTATCATCTTCATACTTTGGACCTTGTGCAGACATATGGCATAGAATGTGAAGAAATAATAGTATTTCCATTAAACAGTATCTTTTCGGCCACTTTTTAATAGCCCTCAGGATTACTTTAACAGAGTTCTCCTACCCCAAAAGAAGGTTTCCCTTTAGCAGATCATTATCAGATAGAGCAGTTATAAATTTTAAAGAATCTGTTTTAGTTTTTCTGTCCTATGTGTCGCCGAGCATTGCTGCAGAGGACAAAAGTTTCATTTATTCCCCTTCACAGGTTGATGATTTTGTTGATGGGGTTGCTAGTTCTCTGCGTACTGCATTAGAGAACGCAGCCTCTTTGAAAAATTAAAAAACTTAGAAATAGAAGGCTGGCTCCCTGGTTTAATGCAGAGCTGCGCACAAACTGGAGAGAAAATTGCACTCCACAGGTCTACGGGAATCCTACCTAGTCTGGAAAAATAGTTCACTGCTGTATAAGAGGACCATTTGAAAGCAAGAGCAACATATCTCTCCTCATTAATAGAGGAGAATAAGATATCTTCTAGATATCTTTTTAATACAATTGCCAAACTCACCTAGAGCCATAGCTCTGTTTAACTGTCCATCCCAGCTGCTTTTAGCAGTAATGATTTTATGGGATTCTTTATAAATTAGAGTGATGTTATTAAAAAAATAAGACCATAATAATTGCTTTAGCTCTGGAAGGTGATGCAGCATCTGGGGTAGCCAAAGAATTTAAAACGGGTTTAGACTGCTCTGATCCAGTTCAACTTTCAGAGTTAGCAAAACTATTGTCTTCATCTAAGCCTTCAACTTAGTAAACAAAGTAGTAACAAAGTAAAAAATCTTATTATTTTCGGGACCTGTCATTTAAATTCCATATAAGAGTTTTCTAGAATTTCCTTCTTTCATCTACGCAATAACCTATCCAGGGGTTATACTGAGAAACTAGTCCATGCATTTGTTACTTCAAGGCTGGACTATTGTAATTCTTTACTATCAGGAAGTCCACAAACTTCAGTTAAAAGCCTTCAGCTGATCCAAAATGCTGCAGCCAGAGTTCTGATGAAAATTAGAAAGAGAGATCATATCTCTCTTAAATTAGCTTCTCTTCATTGGCTTCCTGTTAAATCAAGAATAAAATTTAAAATCCTCCTTCTCACATTTAAAGCCTTAAATGGCCAAGCTCCATCTTATATCAGAGATATGATTGTTCCTTATGTACCTAACAGAGCACTCACTCTCAATCCTCAGGTTTACTAGTGGTTCCAAGAATTTTTAAAAGTAGAATGGGAGATCTTTTAGTTATCAGGCTCCTCTCCTGTGGAACAAACTACCAGCTTTAGTCTATGAGGCAGACACCCTGTCTACTTTTAAGGGTAGGCTTAAAACTTTCCTTTTAGATAAAGCTTATAGTTAGAGTAGCACAGGTTATCCCGAGTTATCTCTAAAGTTATGCTGCTATAAGCTTAGATTTCTAGATGACATAGGAACCCCTTTTCATCATGTGTTGTGAATTGGCGCTATATAAATAAATTGAAATGAATTGAACTGTCATCACCCAACATATAAAAAGGTCATTTGGAATGACCAGATAGGGATTTAATGGGCATAAAGAAAAATGTTGTACCACAATAGAGAACAAAAATGTAAAACCCACTATATGAATGTAGATGACACATATAGCCATCTGATAACATGTCCTCTTTCTAAGAAAGGGGGGGCTATAAAGGCTTTTTTTGTTCACAAAAAGTCCTATAAACAACATTCGCTTCTAAAAATCTAACAAAAAGAATGTTAGTAAGAATTTATCTGAACGTCATACTATATAAACATACAGGATTTGTAGCTCTCTAATAACATTTACAGACCTGAGATTTTCTGTGCCACCCAGAGCCTCCCAGCAGTTTCTAGCACCCAAGCCTCATTTCGGTCCACCAGGAGGAAGGTGTTGTGGTAGCTGAAGGGTTCAGGGTCCTCCTTGCACTGCCCCCCCTGGCCATGCTGCTCCAAGAGCCCAGTGATGACAGTCAGTGCTGCCCAAGCACTGTCACCACGCTCCAGCCCAAGCCTGAAGATCAAGCAAGCTGATAATCGAAACGCAGTTTGGGGGCTATGTTTACATTCTATGAGTTTGGGTTGTTGTTCTTTATTGTTTTGAGACATACATGGCTGCATTGAAAGCTAAATGACTCAATTTCTACACAAATATAAGTTTTAAGGGGCCTTGCCTCCAACACACTGTAGCTTAAATTATGAAGATCATGTCATAATCGTCTGCAAACACTGTTGATCTAAGAGGATTAGGTAATATCTTCCTCTCAGTGTACAGTATCTAAAATGTATTCAGTTAAAAGGGACATATTAGTCACCCTCAATTAAACAACTTTGTTTAATTAAGGTAAATAAGAGACATTTGAAAATACTTCTGCAGCTCACCGGACGAGATCCATCCCCAGCAAAGCTTCTCCAGGAACCACTGGTTCTCGTGTCCATACTGCCTCATTGCCAATACACACTCCTTGGTTATTAGCTCCCATTTCAGCACCCCACAGCCAGGCAGGTTTACTGAGGACGACGGCATAGGTTTTCTCTACCTGAGGGATCTGGATGTATGTGCACTGCAGAAAAATATATTAATGGAATGTTACACCAGATTTCAAAGATGCCACAACACTAAATAGTACTGTATCCAGTGTGCAAAGATGACAACTCCTCCCCCTTTGCAGAAAAAAACAATGTTTTGGAACTGTAGTGGGTGGAAGGTAACAACTTTAATGGATCAAATATCAACTCAGATCTGTTAGGTTAATTGGCTTCTCTAAATTCTCCTTAGGTGTGAGTGTGTGTGTGAATGGTTGTTTGTCCTGTTTGTCTCTATGTTGCCCTGCGATGGACTGGCGACCTGTCGGGGGTTTACCCCGCCTCTCGCCCGTAGGCACCAGCACTCATTGCGACCCCGCTTGGGATAAGCATGACAGAAATGGAACCTTAAATCAAAAGGACTCCGGGTCCTTTCCCGAAAACATTTCACACTGGAAAAATAGCCTCTCAGGCATCTGTAAACTAAGCCTCGGCTCTAGCCTTGACTAGCAAGTGTGCAACACAAGTGAACACTTTAGTGCACCATAGAAGGCAAAATGAGCTCACATTTAAAGGAATAGTACACCCAAAACATGATTAGCCTTCATTTTCTACTCACCCCCATGCTGAACAACACTCTGGAGTACTTTTTTGATATCTCAAATGCATCTGGAGATCTGGGAGGCTTCTTGCTGTCTGCTGACATTCAAATAATGGAGGTCTATTGTGCCCGAGACAGAAAGGTCCATAAAAGTCCACAAAAAAGTGTCAATATTCCTCCATACTGCTCGTCCAATGTATTCCAAGTGTCCTGAGTGGGTAGCATCCAGAATTTACTCGAAACTAAGTCATTTAGAATGTTTTTAGAGCATAAACAGTAGTGTATAGGATTTCCTGAAAGCGCGCACATGCGCGTTCACGACGCTACGGAAGTCGGCAGACCAAGCCAGATGAAAGTGCGCATTCAGCGTCTGCTCTGCCAATAATGCAAGCGTAGAAGAAGAAATGTGCTGTTTACCTGTGCAAAGAAAGAAACAACGAAAGAAAAATGTCTGAGGACTTCAGTGTTGAGGAAGAGCATGAGTTCTTTGCCGAGCTGAATGCGCTGGTTTGGTCTGCCGGCTTCCGTAGCGGCGTGAACGCACATGTGCGCGCTTTCAGGAAATCCTATATACTACTGTTTATGCTCTAAAAACATTCTAAATGACTTCGTTTCGAGTAAATTCTGGATGCTACCCACTCAGGACACTTGGAATACATTGGACGAGCAGTATGGAGGAATATTGACACGTTTGTTGTGGACTTTTATGGACCTTTCTGTCTCGGTCACCATAGACCTCCATTATTTGAATGTCAGCAGACAGCAAGAAGCCTCCCAGATCTCCAGATGCATTTGAGATATCAAAAAAGTACTCCAGAGTGTTGTTCAGCATGGGGGTGAGTAGAAAATGAAGGCTAATCATGTTTTGGGTGTACTATTCCTTTAAGGTTTTAAAATTGAGGGGAAAAGGAATAGATGGGAAAATGTTTTTCCCATCACAATATGTACTAACATAAACCCTATTTCAATAGTGAACCCTGTAGTTGGTCATACATTTATACACAGTTTAGACACTTTAGTTTGAGGTTTTTCACTAGAGATGAGCTCAAACTGAGCATACAAAACATGCTTAAATGACAGCTCCCAGCATGCCTTAAAGCTCTGACATCAGCCCAAAAGTTATTAAACAACAGCACCACTGTCATTCCTCTATCACAGTCTGCCTACATTGGGAGAAGAACCCCTTCCATCCCTAAAAGCCCTGCAATAACCTCTTGGAAGAGCATGTCGCTACTCAAAAGCTGTCCCCCTTCTTTATTCCTTTTGAAGACGAGGCTTGCATCCTGCAGAAAGAATCGTCTGCAAAGCCTTTGCAATCATGTGGAAGAAGCTGATCTGGTCACAGGAGACCATAAATACATTTATAAGCCTCTATTTAAAAAAAAAAAAAAAAAAAAAAAAAAGTGCATACATCAATCCAATGTCTGTGGCAGCATTATGCTGTGGAGATGCTTTTAGGGACAGGAAGGTATTCCTGGAAAAAAAACTTAGTTAAGGCTGCTGCACAGCATATGACATGGTCAGAGGTTCAGCTTCTTGCTTTAAACATGGAGTCTGCACTACAATTACATATTATAGAACATAGCATGTCTATGTGTCAGAAAGGCCAAATCAAAATCCAGACAAAAGCCTAAAAACAAATCAAATGTAATTCTGAAAACTGAGGTTAACCATTGTCCTGTATCCTGTCTGTGTCTGACTGAGCTTGGCTTAGTTAGCAAAGAAAAGTTTCTGAGAATTTCAGTCTCAGATGTACAAAGCTTTTACAAATATATCTCAAAAGGCTAGCACAGAAATGTGGTTCCACAAACCATGGAAACCGTGTTTCCTATTCATTCTCCTGCATAAATAAATTGCATTTTCAATCACATAATAATAAAATGTATTCAAGTTGTGGCAAGGTGTAAAAAAAGTGCTATAGGAGTAGGAATATTCAGCAACAATGGTCATCAATATCCAGTTACATTTTTGAAACATGCTTAGAAAGGTCAGGTACCTATTTTCAGGGGCGGAGCTAGATTGGGGCCATAACTACCCTTAGCCAATCATTGGCCACCCCTATCATTGTTTCCCTCTAATACAGGCGATGGTAAACAGTAATACTCTCAAGTGGAACATTCAAAACATTTTAATTTTTCATATATTAACAATTACTTGTCAAGAAAAACACTGTGGTTAATTATGCACATCAATATACTAACATTAAAGATAATAAGAACAGAATTCAAGCAGAACCAGATTTTGTGTTTCATGGGTAAAGAGAAAATGATGTGTCTCTGCAAGTTATCTAGGAGTCTTCAGTGAAATAATACATAAATAACCATTTTAATAAAAACAGATTAAATAATCAATTTATGTAGATATTAGTACTTGTAATGATCAATTCTAAGCAGAAAGATAACTGATAAAAGTAGGTAAGTAATGACAATGGAAAAGATGTTTGCCAAAAACTCAAACCTGAAAGAATTATATCCACTATATTTTCAGGTGTTTGAAGATATTCGTCTATTTGTCAGCAAAGGCTATGGGAAAGTATAGCTTGTCTTTATCTAGAAAATATGGATGTTTTGCTCATTAATTTTCCTGTTGGAAGAGTGTAGATTGACCCTGAGGTTTTGATGCCATCTACTTTTGGCCACCCCTAAGTCTACATTGGTTATTGCCTGGCCACCCTTATAAAAAGCAATGGATATTTTCAAAATCCATTGCTTGAAACACAAGCCTGGCTTCTTGGTAACAAAATCCTAAGCACCCCAGTCTTTTTGTATATTTTCCAAGTAAACATGATGACCTTCTGATCCCACACCACCAACCTACACTCAAGAGTTAGGGGTTGGGGGGGTGAGACCGTTAGAGTCCTGGCCTGTTTTACCTCCAGCGTGGATCCTGGAGGATGAGAGGCTGCAGGGTGGTAGACCACCTCCTGCACCTCATCCCGGGGACGGTCCGAGTTCTTCCCAAAAATCACTTGGTCATCCCGAGAACCAGGGGGTAAGGAGACAAAACAATCACATGACATAGGAGCCTGTGCCATTCTGCAACAACAAAAGAGCAAAAAAAAAAAAGCAATTGAGAGGAAGAGCTGGATTTTAAAAGATGCACAATAAGCACTACCTCATGTAAACAATCCTGCAAGGCTGACAGAGTGTTTGACATCCAACACAAATGAGCAAGCCTCCTCCCTTTAACCATAATGTGCATGTGAGAAGTCAGGAAGAAGAGATCCCTAAGGCTTTTTGCAGAAAAAGTGCGCTTCAGCCGCTGCCCATCCCTTTCCAGAACGGATTAGGTGGCAGACTAGTGCAGAGGACTTTATTCACTCTAATCTGCACAAATCCGACCCCCACCTTGCTTTATCACATGCTATTACCACCGCGATGCCTTTCAATCGGTAAATATTGTGCGGGGGGGATATAACACAAAGTGTGCCGGAGGCAGAGGCAGCGTGCAGCGGGGCTCCCTGTTTGCAAAGAGCGCTGTTTATTCCCAGAGATAAGGCCCTGCATGAGCTGCCGCTTCAGCTCGGCTTATTTCCAGGAAATGAGAGGGGCGGTTAAAATAAGAAGAGGGTTGGATCTGGAGGGTGGTCGCTGGGTCTAAACTACAGCTAGGAGTGCATTTGCAGCAATAAATTTACCTGTGTTTGTTTTTTTGGTGGAGGGAGCGGACGGCCAGCTGGGAGAAGACAGGCAGGTTGTAGGAAACGAGTCACGTGACCGAGCGATCCAAAGGTCTGTACTTAAAGGTCTCGTCTAGTCTGGCCACAAACAGCTCATCGTCTCTAGGAGTCCGGTTTACACTGATGATGATGCAGCTTTTTATCATGAGTCTGTTTCTCACTGGCTGCAAACTTAAAGCTGACGTCGCACTTAATCACGGGAATCCCTGCAAGTTTATTCCCAACAGTGTAATCCGTAAAAAATTACAATGGTTAAGCGAATTTGTTGATTGACCTGTATTAGTTTTTAACACAATTTTTTATTTTTTGCCATTTTTTAAGATGGGGCTAGAAGAGAGATAAACAATTTATTCCTCGTTTCTCACTAATTTGCCACTGTGAAACATAATAGTGGCAGAATCATACTGTGGGGGTCGTGATGCCAGTGGCAGTTCTAGACCAAATGTACCAGGGGGCCAAGAGGGGGGGAGCATGTTTTCATGGGGGCACAATGAAATTAAAAACAGGGCAAGGGATTCAAATATTAAGAGAGCTACGTGAAGTGAAATTTCTATTCAATTAGGTTTCATTAAAATTCTATTTATTTATTTTTTTTTTCAAATTTGTTTTGAAAAAAAAAAAAAAAGTAGCAGATGAAAACTGGGATCCTATCTCAATATCACTGAAGTTATCACCTTAATCTGTTTTAAATAATTGGTAAAACATAATTTTTAAAGAAAAAAATGAAATTGTTTTAAAGGACCTATCAGTAACCATGTCTGTTCCAGCGCATATCATCATTAGAATTTCTTTTATGTATTATTTCTTCAGGGGCCAGGACATGATTTACAGGGGCATTGGCCCCGTTGACCCCTGTCTAGAACCGCCCATGCACGATGTAGATTTTCAGAGGGTCTGTTTAGGTATTTTTTCCTGATTTATTTTAATCATTTTCATACCCTGTGCACTGTTTGGTTGAATTCATGAATTGAATTCTCTTACAACTGCAAACTGCCAGTCAGTATCCTGCCTGTAATAATATACAAATCTCTGCAAGCTCTAAAAGAAAAACTGTGCAATTTATAAATGGTGAGCTATAAATGATGTAGCTGAGATGAGAAGTTAGGACACAGATCAGGACCTTCGGGTCCTGTTAGTTCTTTGGATCTTACATTTTAGCCTCTCTGTTTAAGTTTTTGCCTGTGTTTATTACATTTTTAGTATTCCTTTTTAGACTCTGGTCCATGTATGTCTTTGGTTTCTTAGGTAAAATCAGCCTTTATTTTGAAACAACCAGCCTTCTATCTGAGTTTTACTCCTCCATAACCACACCAATTCAAAAACCTTACACTGTACGTGAAGCTGGATACACCATCCCCAAAATAAAACATGGAGGTGGCAGCATCATGCTGTCATTATCTAAAGAAATATGGGTTTACTTTATGACTCTCATCTTTAAGTCATCTCTATATTTGGGATTTTATTCAGAGCTTAATGCTTAAGTTAGTGATTCTCTTTGTGTCCTTTGTTCTTTTTTATGTTATTGGGCTCCATTCATTCTCTGTTTTTCAATTCGTTTCAGTTACTGTGTCCGAAAAAGTCTTTAGACATTCTTAATATTGGTTATTTTCATTTTTTTTCATCAAGTCCATTTCGTAATGAACATAGCTTGCAGTCACATCAAATCCCTGCAAGGTTTTACACACCTGAAAACTCCATTCCATATTATAGTTGCTATGTGATATGTACCTTAATTTGAAGGGAAAGCCAAAGTCTATTTGTTTATCTCATTTACATTTAGGTATACGTTAATCTTTTAGCAGAATAAAGCCAAAAATATATTTTTGAAAGTATTGATTTTGAATTTGACTTGTAAGTGGTAAAATGTTTGAAAACAAGAGAACACCCAGAGGTTTATTTTTATTTAAATTTTTTGCTCTCAAAAATCTGCATACCTCCAGTTAACATTACTTTCCTTCGGCCTGGCATTTTTTACCAAGCATGTGTGTCTTAGAGAGGACAGAGTATGAGTTATTTTACGTTGTATCCACTAGATGTCCCTGCATTCAATCCACTTGACCTTTAAATAGTTATTAGCTAAATAAGCACTGTTTTTTTCTAATCTATCAAAATATTTGGAGCGGGTTAAGATAAATGAACAATTTTCACCTAGTGTAACCTAACTTTTTCATGTGGTAAAGTTTTTGCATTTACTTAGATATAGCAGTGAAAAAGTAAAAAGTACTTTACATTTGTATCAGTATTTTTTTTTAATCATAATTGTATTACATCTGAATAGTAAGTGGAAAGATACCGAATGTAACAAGTTAAATACATGTTTATATTTGCTGTATAAATAGGTCACAGTCTTTGCTCAATGACACTGCTCCTACAATGCACTGGTTTTTACCGGTCCCTGAATCCCCTGTTGGCTAATCAGTGTAATTAAAGTTTGTGTGTGGTGTCAGTAGTTTATTGAGTGGGTGTGTCTCCCATCCGTGGTGTTTCATTGAATTATGCTGCTGGCACTCCCTGTCTCAGACTGTGGAGACACACTCAGTCCCCATGCAGTCCCCGTCTAGATGCACTTTAAAAACCACTGATTGATTTTAAAGAGTCAACCACTGTGTTAAACATTGAATACTGGTCATTTTCACAGTAACTCTTTCTTTAGTGGTTGCACAGAGAATTAATCCACTAATCTTTTTAAAAGAAAAACAAATTAGATTTTTATACATTTCTAATTGAGACATATTCAAAGTTAAATGTATCATTATCTTTAGTTTTATAAGTTAAAACCTGACCTGAGTTAAAACCTTTGGTAGACTTTCTTGCAACTCATTTTTCTGTTGAAATAGCTTTCTATTACTTATTTACAAGTCCAGTAAACGGAAATGAATGCTTCTCTATTAAACTGTAAAGGCTTTAATAGAGTCCCTGTTAAGGACGAATTTTATGTCTGATTGTAAGCTCGTGATTCACTGATTATTAAAATGTTGCATCTAGACTTTTGCTGAAACTAAGGTGCATTTGTCTCTCTAGACATGAAGTCCTATAACTTCAGCTTAAAAAAAAATGTAAAAAAAGGAAATAAAATTTAAAAAAACATAAAAGTTAAAAGTTTAAAACTTAAAAAAAAAACACAGAATTTTAACGATTCAAGCTTGGATTTAATTATTCTTCAGCGATTAAGAAGACTCTATGTGAAAATAAGGCACATTTTTCATCTTCTGAAAAATATTTTTGAAATCCATCTACTCCTACATTTTCAGCTATTTATTTCCTAAATTATAAAAAATGCAATATTTGCACCATACCCTTGCCCCTGGTATCAAAAATTTAAGAACTACCTCTTAACATGAATGCTGTCCTAGTGATAGATATTTTGCGTTGGAGTTATAGTTGTAGAGGTGTAGAATTTACACAGATTACAGAAAAATAATTAAAGTTACCAGTTGTTAGAAGGTACAATAATGTTGGCATTAAAGGCACCGCCTTAAATTGGTTGAGATTGTACCTTCAAAATCGATCTTTTGCCAACCACCTTGGTCCTTACACCTCTGGACCTGCCCCACTCAGCTGTGGAGTGCCGCAAGGCTCCATTCTGGGCCCCTTATTGTTTTCAATGTATATTCTTCCACTTGGTTTAATTTTTAGAAAATAAAAAGATCTGCAAATTTATCTGCCTTTTAAGTCAGGCACAGACAATGTTCAAGTTTTATTTAAAATATACAAGAAGTGAAGCACTGAATGTTTAAAAATTGTCTAAAAGTGAAATTGTGGTATTTAGAAAGTCATGTGATGTCTCAACTCTTGTCATGTTCGCTGCCCTGATAGCTGACCTAATTACTCACTTCACTCACCTGCTTAACCCTCCCTGGTTACTAATCACCACTCCTCCACTTACGCCTGCTGCTTTCTATACGGTTTAGCCCAGCTATCGTGGCCAGATCATTGTATGTATGTTTGTCTGTTCATCTGAGTTTTAGTGTAAGATCATGGCTGATTTCCACAGTTCTTGTGGTCATTCTCTGAGGCCAGTGGTTAGAGAGGGTTGTTAGTCTTGTTTTTGTTTTTCCTGATCATGTCCTGGCTCTTGTCCGCTGAGCGCACCCTGTTCCTGTTTAGGCTCAATGGAGGCAGCTAGTTTAAAGCTCCGTAGTTATCCAGTTACCATGTCTCGTTTATGTCTCTCAACTACTAAGCCTGCCTGTTTCCATCTGAATGTTTCTGCCTGAACTCGCTGATGGACTCATAAAACCCTAAACATGCCTGAGCGCTCTGTGGATTCCTGGAACCCTGGATCTGCCTGTTCCTGTTATGATTGGAACCCCTGACCGGGCTAAGGAGTCCTGGATCTCAGAGCCGTCCTTTTCTTGACTGTTACCCTGACCTGGCTCGGACTTTTGCCTGTTCACGGAGGCTGCTGCATCAAAGACACTCTGGGCAGCTCACCCCACATCTCGTTTGGCAGTCCATTTGCTGGATCCTGCCTCACTTGAGAGGATGGACTGAACTGTTAAACCAGTTAATTGACTCGCTTGGATAAACATTTTCCATCAGATTATCCTGGTCACTTACCTGTGTTTCTCCCTAACCAGACTGCCAGTGATGGGTGGTGCCCCTCCTCCCCCTGTAGCAGATCCACAGCTCTGCGTTCTAAACTCTGTGTTGTTCTTTATTAAAAGTTCTGAACTTTCCCACTGTCTGATCACATGAATTCTGGGTCCTACATTCTGACGCTCATTACAACACTAGGCCCTTTGAGCAACTATTGTCACGAGTCTGCCAGGAATCTTGGGGTTGTTTTGGATGGTTTGTTTAATTTTGACAGACAAATAAGTTCAGTCATCATAAATAGCTTTTTTCAGCTGCGTTTGCTCATCAAAGTCAAACTTATTTGCCTCATGCCGACCTTGAGCCTGTCATTCATGCTTTTAGGTATACACAGAGTGTATACAAAACAAAATTTAGTTTTGTACAGTGCTCATGACATTTCAGTTTCTTAAAGTGCAGCAGATAATTGTAACTCACTGTACTGTGGGCTTGAGCAAACCTCCATCCGTCGGATGCAGTTAGTTCAAAAGGCAGCAGGGCGTTTGCTCACAGGCAAGAGGAAACACGAGCACATAACTCCT